GCCTCCCAAGTAGCTGGGACCACAGGCACCCGCCACAACGCCTGGCTATTTTTTGGTTGCAGCCATCATTATTGTTTTTGCTGGGCCCCGGGCTGGATTTGAACCCGCCACCTTAGGGGTATGTGGCTGGTGCCTTAGCTGCTTGAGCCGCAGGTGCCAAGCCTGTAGTTGTCGTTTTTTGGAAGACCTGGGCTGGATTCGAACCCGCCAGCTCAAGTGTATGTGGCTGGCACCTTAGCTGCTTAAGCCACAGCGCTGAGCCAAGGCAGATGTCTTTTAAGGCAGTACTTGCCTTCCTTATGGCCTACTCCCATCTCCCTTCCTGGCCATGAGACCTATAACCAAGTTCTAATCCCAGCATGGCTTAGCTGGGGGTGCTGATTTGGGGAAGGGAGAAAAGGATTATTCACCAAGGGAGCTGCAAGACCTAGGTGATACACATGCAGGAGCCCAGAGAGCATGCTGGGATAGGCCCTCTGCTAAGGAGATAAGGAATGAGCAGGTGCAGGGGCCTGGCTTCCTCAAGGAGCCCAGCAGTGGCTGTTCTCTGTGGGAAGATAGGGCTGGCACTGGTGGTGCTGTTATGGAACTGGACTCCCTTATGTCCATGAGATGGCAGGACCCAAGAGTAGCAGTGGCCAGATACAGGGCTTAACCCCCAGGGGCAAGATGGATATAATTACTAAAGTGGACAGAAAGGTCAGGGTGGCTGAAACCTGAGGGGGCTGACATGGTATGGACTAGACTAAGGAATCCTCCAAGGTAAGAAACAGAGCCAACTAGGGCATGACTTGACTCACATATCCTCCCTAAAAGGCCAAGTGGTGATCCTGAAGGCCATTTTCAGTTTCCCCAATGGGAAGTCACCATCTCCCTCCTGGATCTGAGCCAGTTCTCAGAAGTTATAATGCCATTTTGTGTGAGATATGTAGACAACAGTGACTTCCTCAGCCTGTCCCCAAGTGCATGTAAAGCCATTTACCTGAATTTAAATTCACGAAGGAAGTGGGATATCCAGCTTCACCAGCAAGAGCTCTGACCCTGCATGGGTGGAGGTCTGAGTCACCCATCAGAGCAGTCCCTAGACTGGAAGTGTTGAACAGTGGATCTGGAATGGGATTACGAGGGTGAATTCATAAGTGTTCTCCACCCACAGTGGGGTTATGAGAGATATGCATGGAACTGTAGTTGAGAAGTAGCCTACAGCAAGTACTTATTCTCTCCCCTCACCTCTCTGCATGGATCCTTTGTAGCGATGTGTGCTCTAGCTGCCCATATCTGTGGCTTTTCCATGCTGGCAGAGGATGGGCCATGCCTATGAGTGGATGTCCTGAAGTGGCCCCTCACCAGCACTAGGTTGTAGGTGGGAAAGCCAGCTCCTGTCCTTGAGGTTTGGATGACTCGGAGGCTTTACTCCTGCTCCAGTGTGGGACCAAATGGAATTCCCTCTGCAGGACTTATCCTGAGCCTCTTTACCCTTCCTGTCCTATGTCTCCTGTACTCACTGGCCTCCTCTAGCTCGATTTCCTAATTTTTTTTTTTTTGTCGCCTTTGGTAGAGTGCTGTGTTATCACAGCTCACAGCAACCTCAAACTCTTGGGCTTAAGCAATTCTCTTGCCTCAGCCTCCCAAGTAGCTGGGACTACAGGCACCCACCACAATGCCTGGTACTTTTTCTTGCAGTTATCATTGTTGTTTGGCTGGCCCAGGCCGGGTTTGAACCCAACCAGCCTCAGTATATGTGGCTGGCACCATAACCACTGTGCTATGGGTGCTGAGCCCTTCCTAGATAAATCATGTGCACACAAATGGGCTTCTCGGAGCTACTTCTGGGAAAACTGACTTAAAATGCTAAGAGGAGGCACATGGACACAGCCTTGTCTTAGGAGGGAGGGGAAGAGCCCAAGGAAGTCCAGGCAAGCCCAGGGGATTAAAGGGCATTGGCTGAAAAGCTCCCAGTGGCAGAAGGAGACACAGATAAATGACCATCCAGTGTGACGGGCAGATGGAGCAGCTGCCTCTGCCTTGGGGGAGAGTCTTCATGGATCAGAGGTGTTTGGAAAGTGAAGGTTGGGGAAATTGGAGGGGAGGCATTCCAGAAGGAAGCCACACCATGTGCAAAGGATCAGTGTCAGAGAGGGCCTGGTATGGCTAGGAACAGTGAAAGTTTCAGGACAGCCAGGAGACAGGTGTTATGGGAGGGGTAATGAGGGGGAGAGCTAGGCAGGGGCCAGATTTTGTGGAAGCACATTACTTCCAAGCCAGAGGTGTTTAATCCCATTGGCCAGTGTCTCACACTTTGGTCATTTGCATGTTATATCTATTACATCCACCTCTACTACTGCTGACAATATTTTTCTTAAATGACTGATACTGATCTTTTAAAAAATTATTTATTATTGTTTGTAGAGATGAGGTTTTCTATATTGCCTATGCTGGTCTTGAATTCCTGGCCTCAAGCAATCCTCCTTCCCTGGCCTCCCAAAAGGCTGAGATTATAGGCATGAGCCACCATGCCCAGCCTTTAAATAGATATATGTTTTCATCATATTTAAAACAGGAACATTGTTTTATACTGCAAATGGCAGGCCAGTGGGGTAGGCTTATACTGAGAGTGTGAGCATGGCCAAGCTTGCTTTGTCTCCCAGAATCCCCTTTTCTGTTTTGGGGTAAGTTTGGTCACACTGAGTGCTTGCTGTAGGCAAAGAGAATATGGAATAGGTGTAAAATGAAAGAGTTATAAATGTCAGCTATAACCACATGACCAGTTGCAGAAGTGAGGGCTGTAATACTTATAAGTAGTTCATTCTTATTTTTTTTTTTTTGAGACAGAGCCTCAAGCTGTCCCCCTGGGTAGAGTGCTGTGGCATCACAGCTCACAGCAACCTCCAACTCATGGGTTCAAGTGAGTCTCATGCCTCAGCCTCCCAAGTAGCTGGGACTATAGGTGCCTGCCACAATGCCTGGCTATTTTTTGGTTGCAGCCATCACTGTTGTTTGGTGGGCCTGGGCTGGATTCGAACCCACCACCTTAGGTGTATGTGGCTGTCACCTTAGCCACTTGAGCCACAGGCGCCAAGCCTCATTCTTATTTTTTATGTGAAACTATTTGTTTTATATATTAATCATGTTTCTCTCTCCCTCTTCCGTTTCCCAAACATCTAACATAAATGCACTAATAGTAAGTAGTTAACTTTATATCTCAGTATTTAAGTTACTAGAAATTTAAGGGGGAGCATGTCTTAGCAAGAGGAATGACATCTTTGTCCAAAGATGGGACAGGAAACAGAGTCTGTGTGGTTGCACCATGTCAGGTGGGCTATCACCACTATCTGGAGGTTAATTTGTTACTTTGGCTCCACAGATATCTGAGGCCAT